CAGAAAATGGGAAATATCTGCTTTCAAAAGGAAGTTTGGTTATCTACTTATACTTAGAAAACGGGAAATTTGTATCATAGAAAAGGGAAATATCTACTTTCCGGAAAGTTGAATTTATCTTTTCCCAAAAATTAGATTATCTACTTTTCGGAAAGTAATTATCGACTTTTGGGAAATAATTATCATTTTTGAAATATTACTGGTACCGAAGTTGATTATCATAAAAACAGAAATTTGTATTATAGAAAATGAAATATCTACTTTCTGGAAAGTTAGTTTATCTACTTATCATAGAAACAGGAAATTTGTATCATAGAAAATGGAAATATATCTACTTTCGGAAAGATGAAGACATATCTACTTTCCCAAAAGTAGATTCCTCTACTTACTGGGAAAATAGATTATGAAAACTTTTTGAAATACATTATCGACTTTGGAAATATTGCGTAATTTTCCCAAAGTAGTTATCATGAAAACAGGAAATTTGTATTGAAAATGGGAAATATCTACTTTCTGGGAAAGGTTGGTTATCCTGCTTATATAATAGAAAACTGGAAATTTGTGTCATAGAAAATGGGAAATATCTACATTCCGGGAAAGTTGGTTATACTACTTTCCCCGAAATATCTACTTTCAGGAAAATGGAATATCGACTTTTTGAAATGAATTATCGACTTTGAGGGAAATGCATTATCGACTTGCAGGGGAAATATTGCCTAATTTTCCGAAGTAGATTATCATGAAAACAGAAATTTGTATTATAGAAATGAAATATCTGCTTTCCGGGAAAGTTGGTTATCTACTTTCCCAAAAGTAGATTATCTACTTTCGGGAAGTAGATTATCTAAACTTTTTTGGGGAAGTAGATTATCGACTTTGAGAAATATTACCTAATAATTTACCGAGAAGTAGATTATCATAGAAGCAGAAATTTGTATCACAGAAAATGGGAAATATCTACTTTCTGGGAAAGTTGGTTATCTATATCATAGAAACCCAGAATGTGTTATCTCATAGAAATGGGAAATATCTACTTTCCGGGAAAGTTGGTTATCTACTTTCCCAAAAAGTAGATTATCTACTTTTGAGAAAGTGAATTATCATTTTGGAGAAGTAGATTATATCGACTTTTGGGAAATATTACCTAATTGCAAAGTAGATTGTCATAGAAAACAGAAATTTGTATTACAGGAATGTGTGAAATATCTACTTTCTGGAAAGTTGGTTATCTACTTATCATAGAAAATGAAATATCTACCCATTCCGGAAAGTTGATTTATCTACTTTCCCAAAAATGAATTATCTACTTTTTCAGGGAAGTAGATTATCGACTTTTGAAATGAATTATCGACTTTGAAATATTACCTAATTTTCCGAAGTAGATTGTCATAGAAAACCCAAAATTTGCATTACAGAATATGGGAAATATCTACTTTCTGGAAGTTGGTTATCTACTTGTATCATAGAAACAGGAAATTTGTATCATAGAAAATGATGGGGAAATATCTACTTTCTGGGAAAATTGGTTTCTACTTATCATAGAAAACGGGATTGTATCATAGAAATGGGAAATATCATTCCGGAAGTGTTTATCTACCCGAAAAGTAGATTATCTACTTTTCGAAGTAGATTATCGACTTTTCGCGGAAGTAGATTATCGACTTTTGGAAGTAGATTATCATTTTGGGAAATATTACCTATTTTCAGTAGATTATCATAGAAAACGGGAAATTTGTATCACAGAAAATGAAATATCTACTTTCTGGGAAAGTTGGTTATCTACTTATCATACCAATTTCCCGTTTTCTATGATAAGTAGATAACCAACTTTCCAGTTAGTAAATATTTCCCATTTTCTGTAATACATTTCCGTTTTAAGACAATCTACTTCGAAAAGATAATATTTCCCCAAAATCGATAATCTACTTTCCCCAAAATGAATAACCAACTTCCGGAAAGTAGATATTTCCCATTTTCTATGATACAAATTTCCTATTTCCTATGATAAGTAGATAACCAACTTTCCCAGAAAGTAGATATTTCCCATTTTCTGTGATACAAATTTCCCGTTTTCTATGATAATATAATCTACTAAGGAAAATTAGGTAATATTTCCCCAAAGTAGATAATCTACTTTTCGGGAAAGTTCGTTTTTTTTCTCTTTATTTTTAAATAGGTTGTAGGCAGCTACCAAACAGGGAGGTACCGCCTGGGAAGATATTGGAAGCATAATGTGTTGTCTAATGGTAGACCCTGCTGCCATATGGCATTGCAAAAATTGTGACCAAGTCCCAGGTTGCTGATCTGACTTTCTGCCTCATTTACACACAATTGCGGGGTCTCAATTGTTTCTCTTGCTATTGACAACACAACATACATATATCGTTTCTCACTAATGATCTTTTTTTTCAATTTCTTTATGGTTCCTTATTATTATTATTATTATTATTATTATTATTATTATTATTATTGCAGTGTTTTCATTATTATTATTGTTATCATTATTATTTTATTTTTATTTTTGTATTTTTTATTATAAATTTTACTTATCTGAATTATTGTTATTATTATTATTCATATTCATATTCATATTCATATTATTATTATTATTATTATTATTATTGTTATTATTACTATTATTATTATTACGTTTTCGCCCCCCGAGCCCTGATGTGGGTCGGTGACCTGTGTCCGGGTGGGCTAATACCCGTAAAAATACAGTCCGGTACCTCCCCACAACAACAACAACCATGAGTATGATATGTGATTACTGTAGGGGGATGTCGGATATGGAGGATACAGGCCTGACTAATGCAACGTTTATGATGTGGCAAACTGCTGTAAAGCATGAAGGCTGTTGCTGGTATTGCCCTGACTGCATAGTCAAGGTGAATGAGGCGATTGCAAGCTATAAGGGAACGAGTTCCCTAGGGACGAAAATAGATGAAGCTGGAGCCTTGCTGGTTGGCAAACTAGAACAAGTTGGGAAAGAGATCCTTGCTAAGACTGAGGAAGTAGCCGATAGAATGGAGGTGGTTGCTAAGAGGAGATATGCTGAGGTATTAGCAGGGCCGCGGGAGGGGGCGGAGAGTAATGGAGGATCGGAACAGGTTCTATAGCAGCTAGGGACTCTGAAGAAGTGTGTCAAAGAAATGAAAATTAACGGACCTACTGTTAGGGGAGAGGAGGAACAATGGGAACGTTTCCAGCGCAGGAACAATGAAATAGTTTTTGGAGCCAGGCGGAGGGAACTGAGAGTAAGATAACACACGATAAGATGCAGTTTAAGAATATTTGTTCAGAGGTTCTGAAGATACCATCAATGAATGCCTCAGGATGCAAGGAGGCTGGGACAAAAGCAGGGGGACAAGCCTTGCCCCCTCAGGATCACACTAGTGAGTGAGGAGGAGAAATGGGAGGTTATTCGGCAGGCAAAAAACTTAGCAAGGAGCAAGGCAGATGCTTTCAGATGCCGTTCTAATATTGTACTTGTGCTGTTTAATTCTGAGTTGCAATGCCTTCCCAGTCTGACCTACATAATTCCCATTACGATTGCTACATGGAATACAGTAAACACTTCCATTTACATTCAAGGTTGGGCTATTCTTAATTAATATATTAGTAATAGTTGAGTCATACTTAAAAACAACATTAATGTTTAATAATTTAAGGGACTGAACTAACGGCCCAACCCAACCAGGTGAGAGGGTTGGGCCATCTTACCCTGTGACCTGACTACGGACAGCTGCTGTGCTTAGAGATGGCATGGTCATTTTTTTTATTAAGAAGATTAGTAAGGGTTGGGTCACTGCCTTATGACCGGAACATTGTGGACACCTGTTGTCCTCTAGGGACTTGATCTCACTCTCCTCTACTGTATATATTAGCCTTGTCAAGCATTACTCCTTAGTCTGTACTCACCCCTGAAGATGTGAATTACACGAAAGCACTTGGGAATCAGCTTTTGTTTCTTAGAATATCAGCATATATATATATACAGTATATATATATATATATATATATATATATATATATATATATATATATATATATATATATATATATATATAAAATCACATACAGAGAAAGGGAAACAATGAGCACCTTAGCCAGTCCTATTCATGCATCTTATGAGGCAACCTGAATATATATATATATATATATATATATATATATATATATATATATATATATATATATATATATATATATATATATATATATATATATATATATAGTCTATCTCAGTCCCACCCAGGCTCGAGGTCTGATTCCTGGCCAGGAGGTCGTTGATTATATATATATATATATATATATATATATATATATATATATATGATAAATCATAAGGAAAGTTAGCAGAACACGAAGTGTTTCTCAGGTTATCAGCATATACCTAGATCACGCGCAATTCTACAGTTATTTATATATATATATATATATATATATATATATAGAGAGAGAGAGAGAGAGAGAGAGAGAGAGAGAGAGAGAGAGAGAGAGAGAGAGAGAGAGAGAGAGAGAGTAGAGAGAGAGAGAGAGAGAGAGAGAGTCTTAAAATGGTGTCGAAGACATAGCAAGAAAACTTATCATATATTTCTGTATCACAGTAGCGGTCATTTGTGTATTAAATTAATTCAGTTGTCACGACTGTCTGGACTCAAGATCAGTTTTTCTCAGTTTGACGACAACTTGTAATTTTTTGTAAATATGCTAACTTTTTAGATGCAAGATTTCTTGTTATTATGTACTTATGTGGTTAACAGCTGAGGTCTGTAAGCATGTATCCCAAATAACTTCATACAGTATATAGAATAATAAGTTCAGAATTATGGAAAACATATCCATCTGAAGTGTATTTTTTGTACTTTAGTAAGAAGGTATGCTATTTATTCATAATGCGTTTTTGCTTACCTCCGATACTTACAACAATTATATGTATATAATCAGAAGGGTGAGTCAGTAGAGGCAGATGTCCGAAACACTTGTGTAAGTGTGGCTGCCATACTCTCTGCATCTCTGCACTGGACCACCCATCATCTCACTTGTGCTCTCCATAGTGACGCCTCACCTCTCCCTCCACTCTTCATCAACATCCCTCGACAGGTCTGTAAACGTGGAGACTTAGCTGTTGATCTGCAATATATTTGTTACGATTTTTTTGCGAAATTGGTTATTTTGCAAAATTCCGAGCATGCATATTGGTAATTTTGCAAAATGACTTTCAAACAGGCTAAAAAAAAAAAAAAAGTCCACTTAACTGTGTCATCTACACGAGCCATCCTAACCAAACCTAACCTAACCATAAGGTTAGGTTAGTTTAGGTTGTCTGTTTGTAAGTTATTTCGCAAAATTACCAATACTGTATGCATGCTCGGAATTTTGCAAAATAGCCGATTTTGCAAAACAAAACTAACTAACATATACAGGGTATATCATATAGAATGGAAAGACAATTTCAAATTTTTGCTGTTTCCTTATTAATACCCGTTAGGGATAGTGTGTATACAGCAAGCTGCACACTGGTATGCAAGGAGGCAGCGTTGTCGCCATTGCACTCAACCTTTTCCACTTCCCCAACTTGTAAAATAGGGAACCCATTTACAGTTGGGTGTGCCCTGGGATTAAACCAGGAGAAGTGGACCCTATCAGCTCGGCCGTCGAACTCTGCCTCTGTTTTAACCTTCGTAAGCAATCTGCTGATAACACGAAAAAATATAAATAAAATACAAAAAATAAGGATATACTCGTATGTCACAGCACCAAACAGTTTTTGGGATATGTTTTACAGTACCAAACAGCTTTTGGGATATGTTTTACAGTACCAAACAGCTTTAGGGATATATGCTCTTATGTCACAGCGTCAGGCAACTGTTCGGATATAAGTTACAGCATAAATCTTCTTTTTCCCTACTATATCATTTCTCACTATCTCCCACAGTGTTTCGGGGTAATCACTTTCGTATCTACAAGAAGATTTTCCAAACATCAAAAGGCAAATTTTTATTATCTTAATTAACTACCTTCACTAACGTGAGTTTCTGTCTTTAAACGTGGTTTTGGTTTCCAAGTTGACAGTTACGTTATCGTCACCTATCTAATTCTTCAAATCATCTCAGCTAATTTTTTACACAGCACCACCCTACCACAGCTAATCATTTACACAGCACCACCCTACCTCAGCTTATCATTTACACAGCACCACCCTATCTCAGCTTATCATTTACTCAGCACCATCCTACCTCAGTTTATCATTTACACAGCACCATCCTACCTCAGCTTATCATTTACTCAGCACCATCCTACCTCAGCTTATCATTTACACAGCACCATCCTACCTCAGCATACTCAACATTCCTCTTTTGTGTTTTCTTATTAACTTTCCTTTCACATACCCCTACTAAAATAGGCTTCTATCACTCCTAAAATATTTTTTTTTCAGTTTACTGTATCATCTAATACACTCTTAGTTAGTAATTATTTATCACTTTTCATCTCTCCCTGTTTCAACATCTCTTGTGTCCCGGAATCTTGCCTAATCTTAATCTATTTACTGCTATCATTATCTCCTCCCTCGATACTTCCTTCTTTACTTAGAACTGCCGTCTTCCTTTCGCCATCTCCAAACATGTAATATTTGGACACTCCTCTATCATTTGGCATCAGTACTTAACGGCATCTCTTTTCCCATTACTATTCTTCCTTCTATATCTTGTATTCTGCTTCTGCTAGCTATTTTTTAGTTTTACATAGATTAACGATGTAATTTTATCTATCTTACTAAATCAGAGTTTAAATTTCACTAGGTTCTTACTCCTTCCTTTCATTGACTCTCATCAATTTCGTCACTTTTATTTTATTATCCATATCCTCCATTTCTTCTCTTCTGCTCTTCCACTAACTCTTCACCTCACACCGGAGGACCACGCTCCCTCCTCTTCTTACGATGGAACATTCAGGGCCTTAGATCTCGCCCAATATACGTTCTTTCGTCAAGTAGGTGTAGCTCTACACCCTGACTCATCACTGTGTACAAGCTCGTGGCCTTCTCACCCTTGTACAGTACTTCCCTGACCTCACAATGGCTTCTGACCAAAAAATTCACTTAAATCATAATTTCGAGCACGAACATGGGTCTAGTGCAAAATGATATAGAATCATGTCCTGATCATGAATCAATAACATAAGAAGGTAGTTTCCTGTGCTAAAGGTACAGAAGAACGCCCTTAATAAGTAAATCCTTTTCTGCGCCAATTAAACCTAAAAATCAAAATTTTACTGGGTCATCAGTAACATACGCAAGGTAGAAAATATTTGGAAGTATTTTTGATTAGTCATGTAAGTGTAGAGTGTAAAATTAACTGCTACAGTCACGAGGAAATAGAAAAGGTAAGGCAAATTTTATCTCTTTATTGATACTACTGTATGCTCTCAGAAACAGTTCACATCATTTTCAAGTGATTGTTTTTTTGATATCCCATCACACCAGTGAAAAATTACTTTGAGGAACAACAACTACGAGCTGGTGTCTTAAAAAATAGGAAGAATTAACAAATTCACCATTTGTTTTGTTCATAAGTACGTTAAAATTCAAAGTGAAAATCAACTTGTTCATTTTTACTAAATAGGTATAGTTGGCTTAGTAACATATAACAAAGACCTTAGTTGTTGAAGCGAAGATATAGTGACCATTAATTTTGTTGTTACATCTACAGGAGTAAACAATGTTGGTCAAGCTCTTGCTGGTAGGTCTAGCCACATCCAACATGTACCACAAGACAGGCACCAACAGCACTAATTATATGGTAAGTGTGTGTGTGTGTGTGTGTGTGTGTGTGTTACCTAAATAAGCACTAAAAATATTATCCTAATCTAACTCAATTGAACCAGATCAAAGCCAACCCAACCCAACCTAACCTAAATTAACCCATCCTAACCTATTAAAATCTGACCTAATTATGACACGGTAAAAATTTGAGCTTATACTGTGACATACACCTTTCACATCATGCACTGTACTTATATAACACCCTCCACATCACGTCTTGTACTTAGTAACATCGTCTACATCATGCACTATACTTATATAACTTCTTTCACATCATGCACTGTACTTATATAACACCCTCCACATCACGTCTTGTACTTATATAACAGCTTTCACATCATGTTCTATTCTTCTATCTATAGCATATTCCACATCTCGTACCGTACTTATATAACACTTTCCACAACATGTACTATATTTATAACACCTTCCACATAACGCACAATACTCATATAATACCTTCCACATTATGCACTGCAATTAGATAACATCTTTCATATCAGGAACTGTACTTATATAACAGCTTCTGCATTACACATTATACTGTACTTATATAACACCTTCCATATCACGTACTGTACTTATAACACCATCCACATCAAGCACTGTACTTGTATTACATCTTCCACATCATGTACTGTACTTATATAACACCTTCCACATCATGCACTCGATTTATATAACATAGTACTACTATGCTGTCACTCGACATCGAGTATGACGATCATCCAGCTATGATAAATTGATATGAGTTATTTGTGATCTCACCTTCATTGGTGAGTTTTGAGGTGACTAAAGAGGCCGACACATGACCGGCAGAGTTGTTCACAGATGTTACACATGTGGAGGGCTACATCGAGTGCGGGAGGGGCGGTGGCAGCGTCTTTCCGGCGTTGGCGCCTGTCTGCTTCGGTTTGCACTCGGGATTACTCGAAAGTATTGACACCTTCTCTTGTGGTGCTCCTCCGAGTGTTACGATGTGGAGTAATTGTCTCCCAGGTGAGAAAGTTGGTTTGGCACTTTTTCAGATTTGTCTTAGGACTATCATTATAACTTTTCAAATGCCCGCCGGCATTACATTTACTATTCTTTAGGTGACTGTAAAGTAGCTGCTTTGGCAGTCTACTTTCGTCCATGCAGGTAACATGGCCAGTCCAACGTAGTTGTTCATGGATAATGGTAGCCTCGATGCTCCTACAGTTGGTGTCAGCAAGAATACTGACATTTGTTCTCTTGTCTTCCCAGCGAACTCGGAGGATGGAACATAGACTACATTGGTGAAAATTTTCAAATGACTTGAGGTGCCTCCTGTATGTGACCCATGTGTCGCTGCCATACAGCAGGGTGGGGAGGACCACTGCTCGATATGCATGTAACTTTGTAAATAATTTCAGCTCCCTACAGCTGACGTCGCGGTTTCAGAGTCTGCCAAAGGCTTAAGATGCACATCTGATCCGATGCTGAATCTCTTCATCGATGTCCGTGGTGGTGGACAGGTGGGAGCCGAGATACCGAAAGTGGGGAACATTAGAGAGGGTAGTACCGATAAGATGGATGAATGGTGGAGGTGTGTCCTTAACCAGGGGCAGGTTGAAAGAGAATCTGAGAATCTGAGTCTTACATACATTCACCTCAAAGCCGAAGTGTGCATACGCATCTACATTGGTGTTCAGGATCTCCTGTAGGCCGCGTTCAGTGTGAGCAACAAGAGTGACGTCGTCTGCAAACTGAAGTTCAGTAATAGAAGCTGCCGACACCTTTGTTCTTGCCTGGAGTCGTCTTATGTTGAAAATACCCTTCATCTGGTACTCGATGTCCACCCCGCCGGCTAAATTGGCACTGGCACGAGTAAGGAAGGCAGCCAAGAAAATGGAAACGAGAGTTGGTGCCAGTACACATCCTTGTTTAGCCCCTGTTTGGATGGAGAAGAACTCAGACTGGGTGCCATTGTGCAGGACACTGCAGTTCATACCATCGTGGAATTGCCTCACAATGGCGATGAATTTTGGGGAGCAGCCAAAACGGCTGATGGTCCACGAGAGGGCTTCCCTGTTGACAGAGTTGAAGACCTTAGTTAGGTCGATGAAAGCCATGTACAGGTCACGACGCTGTTCTTTGCACTTTTCCTGTATCTGGAAGGCAGCAAAGATCATGTCAGTGGTGCCACGTGACGGTCTAAAGTCACATTGTGGTTCTGGGAGGATGTTTTCCGCCTCAGGAAGAAGTCTGTTTAGGAGGACTTGGGCAATAATCTTGCCAGCTACGGACAGCAGATAGATATCGCGGTAGTTGCCACAGTCTGACCGGTTTCCCTTGTTCTTATAAATATGATTATGTAGGCGTCTTTAAGAGCTTGAGGATTTCCTCCCTTTCCCATATATTCTCCAGGGAGAGTGGAGACGGCTGGTAAGCAGAGGTCCTCCTGCTTTATACACCTCGGCTGGGATTCCATCAAGCCTCAAGGCTTTGCTATTTTTTATCTGTTTGATGGTAGTAGCTACCTCGTCCAGGGATGGAGGATAGTTGAGGTGGGTCAGTTCTTGATGCTGAGGGACCTGCTGGGTAGTCAGGACATCCATATCAGTGTTTCGGTTGATCAGTGAATGGTAGTGCTCTATTCAGCACTGAAGGAGGCCTAGATCATCTTTAATTGTGGAATTACCATCGCATGAGGAGAGGGGGCTGAACTACGAGTGATTGGCTCATAAAATGTTTTAGTGAAATTGAAAAATTCGTGCATCTTGTGTTGATTTGCAAATTTTTGTGTTTCACATGCTTTATTTGTAAACCAGTCATTCTTTAGATTGCAAAGTTAGTGCTGGGACAAAGCTCTCTTCTTGCAGAAGGTATCAGCTTTGGTCCGAGACTGAGGGTTGCTCTGCCAGTCAGTTAAAGCAGTACATTTATCATTGACGAGTACATTGAATGCCGGGTCATTTTCATCAGACCAGTTCTGGTATATTCTTTTGATCTGGCTGAGGGTCTCTCTGCAGGTTTTTGTCATGGCAGTTTTGAGAATTCCCATTCGGCACTGGGATTTGGGTTGTTCCTTGTCGGGTTGCTTATCAGCCTATGTTCCAGCTTCTCTCTGAAGGCATGTGCTAGCTCTGGATCCTCCAGATGCTCAGTGTTAAAGCCTCTTCTAGAGGCTTGCTGCCTTCGCCGTTTTGGGGCGACGTGAAGTGAGAGCTTGGTTCTGACGAGCCAATGACCAGTGTCCCAGTGGTCTGAACCATGCATGGCACGGCTGATGAGGACATCTCGGCGATCCCTTTCTTTGACAATGTTGTAGTCAATGAGATGCCAGTGTATGGATCATGGGTGTTGCCACGAGCCCTTGAACTTTTCGGCCTGCCTAAACAAGGTATTGGTGATAGTGAGGTTGTGTGCAGCACACCTGCTGAGGAGGAGTAGGCCGTTAGGATTACACTTGCCTATTCCATTTCTCCCTATGGTTCCCTGCCAAATGTCAGCATCTTTGCCAACTCTGACATTGAAGTCACCAAGGAGCACAACCTTATCATCTCTGGGGATAGAGGTTAGCGCTCTGTCGAGGTCGGCGTAAAAGGCCTCCTTGATGTCATCTTCTGCATCCAGTGTTGGGGCATTTGCACTGATGAAAAAGGCATGACGTGAATGATTCAGTGGGACTCGGAGCGTCATGAGGCACTCGTTGATCCTATTAGGCATTTCAGTTAGCCTGTGTAGGATGCATAGGCAAATGGGAATGCCAACTCCATAGATGCAGTTTCTCTCTGTAGCAGGCTTATCCTTCAAGAAGAAGGTATAGCTAGACCCAAGTTCTTTGAGTTGACCCTCGTCTGGGAGCCGGGACTCACTGATGGCTGCTATGTCGATGTTATTTCTAGGCAGCTCTTTTGCCACATGGGTAGTTCTTATTTCAGGACGCTCATTTGTCCCAGTATCCAGAAGGGTCCTGACGTTCCATGCAGCGACAATAAGAGATTGTATAGTTTGTTTGTTTTTGGATCTGTGATTTTGATTGTGTTTTCAAGTGCATAAGGATAACCTTACTGGGTGCGGTTGCCCAATCAGGTTGTTTTTTTAGGCAGGCTATGTTTAAGGCTCCTTTTCTAGCCCCCTCCCATGTGGGGTGAGCAGAGTGGCTCCTCGAATGGGCTGCTCAGTCGCACAGACAGGACTGGATTGCACTACTGCCTAGATCCTCGTGCAGAAACGACCATCTTATCTGTGCCTCCCCTATGCAGAGTTGTGACTAGAGACTCCCAGCAGTCATCTCTGCCTGTCCCCGTCGCCACTCGTCCGTTGCCATAGGACTTTTTGGGGTATAGGGGTTTTGATGATGATGAAAAGTATGATGAGCTGAATGAAGGCTGCGCGTGAGTTGATTTATGTGGTGAGGCAGGAGTACTGTACTTATATAACACCTTCCACATCACTCACTGTTTTTATGTAACACCTTCCACATCATGCACTGTAGAACTGTTGTACAAGAACAGGAGAATCGACCCATTTACGAACCTTTCTCAAGAAATCTGCAAGAGGGGTGTGGTTATCTATGCTAGGCAAGACCTTAGAGCCAGCCAGGTGAAGGTACAGGGAGAGGATGTTTTTGAAGAGTCCAAGTGGTGTAAAATTAAATTAAAGGGAGGGGACTTACTTATCGTCAGGTGTATCTACAGATCCCCAAACTGTGGCCCACTAAATCAAAGGAACTTAGAGCCTTAATAGACAACGTTGCGATGCTCAACCCAAGCCACCTCCTTATCATGGGGGACTTTAACTATGGCGACATCGACTGGAGAAACGAGTTCACCCCAAATGACTTGAATAACCCTGCTACTATTTTTGTGGAAACTCTGAGAAATAATTTTCTGTTCCATCATATTAGAGACCCGACACATTACAGAGGGACCAAACACCCAAGCTACTAGACCTCATCATAACAAACGAGGAGGGTTTGGTGGCCAAACTGGAACACCTTGCCCCAGTTGG